TGGGTATTTCATGCGGAGTAATAGAATGATAGATAATAGATGACAAAATGCAATAATCAACATATCCCTTTCCCTTGTTAAAAAAAAATAATAACAGATCCCTTTCTCGAATCAGAGCCTGATTCAGGTCCTTGAGAATTCAATAAATTTACTGTTGCCAAATAGGTTCACACAGATATCATCTGCAAGTATGGTAGGCATGCCTAAGCCTAACAGCCAATATCAAACAAAACTACTGAACCCTAAGTAAATAAGATTAGGAAGTGATATCAATTCAGATAATAGTAACAAAGGCAATCGCTGAACATGAAGAATCAATAACGTCTGGACAAACTAAACGCCGCCCTTCAAAATCCACGCTATAGATTGTTATTGTTGATTGAGTCTACCAGTAATCAACACAACAAATGCAACTTCTCAAGTATGAAGTAAAGAAATATAATTCCCATTTTTGCAGTTGAAATTTTTGGTTGCACTGCTCCAAACTTGCTACATATTCATCACATTTCAGAAAAGACTCAAACTTGAGAATTGTGATCTAAAATGGGGCAAGCTATGTTTATTCCATCTCCCCCCACCATCAAATCTAGTGGACATTCAAGACAGCCGAATATAATTGTTTTCATGTCAATAAAGGCAACCTGAAAGATTACATGATGCAACTAAATGGTTGTGAATAATAGTTTTGAAAAAAATCAACATCACAAACAAACACGCTTGGAAGATTGCTGGATTGGAAGCAATGAAACATTAAAGTCAAAACTAAAGCTACACATATTCTGCTGTTAGCAACATTTAACCATAAAAGGGCCAGTAAGTGGTAAAAAAGCCTAGCTTGCACATCAACATGATATTCTTAGAAACTCTCAAACTTGTAAAGGAGAAAAATTCAACAAAATGCGAGGCCCCAAGTACAAGTGTCCTTCTTGGGCTATCCACACAAACTTAGGTCTAGGTTTTTCTGGTGATGGGTCAGACTGGCACATATACTACAGGGACTGGTTGGCAGTCTAAGAGGTCCAGAATTCAGATACCAAAATACATATATATAGTTGTGGTCGTACAGATGGTATGCACCATAGTATCGCTATGTAGAAGCATTTTAGGCAAAAAGTGGATCAATGTTAAAAAATAGCACCATGACTTCTTGAATAAAACTGAGACAGCCGACTTGCCAAAGTATTCAAATGGTTTAGTGTTATACTGGGCATAAAACAATGCTTATTTCATTTGTTTCTACCAACAATAATTTCTCTCTGACAAAGAAATGGGAGATCTTCACTAATTATAGTACTATAAGAGTTTTAACCCGACAAGGGTCATAATATTGTGATCTGGATCATTTACTGCAAGCAATGGTCGCGTAAAATAAAAAAGAGAATTTTTACTACCTTGAGATGATATTTCTTCTGCAGTGACTGCCGAAAGAGACCAGTGTATATTCCACACATCCACCAACTAAACAATAACCCCTCACAGATAAGGAAGGATGTCCTCGGGTCAATACCATGGAATGCTGCTGTTGCTGCTGCAAGTGCAATGCCGCCCTCAACAAAAATGGCATGACAGATGCATGGAGAGGTCCAAGGGGTATCTTCTCTCAATCTCTCAACATTACGCCCAAACAGAACACATGGGCAAAAAAGACCTGTCCAGCCTGTACAGGAATAATATTCTCACATTTGCAAAGATATACCTAGGAGGCTAGGAGACGTAAAGTTTGAAGCATGCCTTAAAAACGAGTGGGTATCCATTACAGAGGGCCGAATATTACTAATACAGGCTTTAGAATTGAACGAGCGAAAATGCACAGATGGACACAATACACATGAGAACTTACAACTTTCTGTGTCTTCAGCACAGCCAAATATGCCAGTCGTCCATGGTTCATCTGCAGGAGGTTCAAAGCTTTCAGGTAAAGGCTGCCCACATTCATTACACTTCCGCACATCCAGCTGCCCAATGAACCACAAGATGAGTAATTAATTCTGTACAGCGTCCCACGATTTTGTCCCAACAGTTTTTATCCTGGTTTATCATTTCGTTTCTAGACAAACTTTCCATAAGAGAACAGAAACAGTACACATGATCACATCCAAAGATTTGAACAGTATAGTTATCTGTGGTGTTGATAAAACTTGCACCATATTTGAGTTGGTAGCTGGTCAAAACTGTAGGTCATTAGGATAGTCTGAATTGGTACTCTCACGAACAACATTTTATTAATTTGTTCAATGAGTTAATTAATTCTGTAATTTTCGGATCCAATTCGGGTCAATTATCACAACAAAGACTTGATCCCTATATCAGCACTGAATTAAATTCAAGATTGCACAATGCCTCCACACACACACATATGTTTAGGTTCCTGTTTTGGCATCATCCCTAATAATCTAGCCCACACAACGACAACAAAGACTAGAGAAGCAAATCCCACACACACACACACACAGATATATATATATATATATATATAAAGTAGAATAATTTTGAATTCAAGAAACAAAAAGTGGCTCAGGTCATTTCGAGATCAAAAAAGGTATCATCCAACGGCCGATGGTATTTCAAACTGTCTCAAACTATTGACGTTTCAGATCGTTTCGATTCGACGTACCATATTACCTCTTGAAAATTTTTTACCGCTCAAAATTTTTAGTTTCCCAAACTAACATCCCTAAATTTAATTCTCCAACCCAATCAAATTTGGCAATTAAATGATCTCTCATTCCTCAACTCTGTCTCTGCCTCTCTCTCTCCCCCTGAAATACAGATTACAATTCTTATCATTATTTCGTTGATTTTATTTCCTATGTTAAATGATCACTTTCTATACTGAGAAATTGACTGTCCCTCGTACTCTCATCTTTCAAGATTCTCTTTCCAAACTGAGACACGTGTCTCCCCAAAATTGTATACTAATACAACTGCTCTCCATCTTTACTGTTATGTCACACACACATCTTTACTGTACATATATATAGTACAAAAATCGAAAACATACTATAGCTACATGTTATATCTTAGGGAAAGTTTCATCTAAACACCATGTAGTTGAATCTAAATTCAATGACAACCCCTATAACAATAACTTTTGTCTCTGTCAATAGATAAAATAATGATTTAACTAAATATTTTATGAAAATACTAAAATTACTCTTTATTATGTAAATAGACTAAAATATCATCAATTTTTCCCCATTACATATGTGTTAGCCAGCCAACAAACGTAATTTCAATCATTATATTATCCCAACAAATTTTTTATTTTAAAATATAATATTTGAACTTTGTTATAATATTAGTCATCATATTATCACTAATGTGGTTACATAATCAAGTTTTTATAATTTTTATATTTTTTTATCATAATAATTTTTATAGTTAAAAATAATTTTTCTATAATAAAAATTACAATTGATAAAGTCAATATTAAAATCTCATCCATTTATAATTCATCTGCTGTCATATGTCTTCCACAACATCGCCCGACCGCGCTTCACACATCATACTTCATATATAAAATTTAAAATTATTTGATAAAATTTAATATTAATTGAATAAATTTGATCTTAATTTTGATAAATTTAAATATTAATTGATTTTTAATTTAATAAAATTAAATATTAATTTGAATGAATTTAATGTTAATTGAATAAATTTGAATGTTGTTTTAATAAAATTAAATGTTTATTTGGTGTTAAATTAAAGAAATGACATTAATTTGATAAGGTTAAATTTTAAATTAATGGAATTTAATATTCTATTTAATAAATTAAATAGTTTAATTTAATAAAATTGAATTTTAATTTGATGTTGATTTGATAAAAATAAATAATAACTTAATATTAAATTAATTAACTAAATGCTAATTTGATAAAATTAAATATCAATTTTGTGTTGATTTGATGAAATGAAATGTTAATTTAGTTTAAATTAAATAAAGAAAATTAATTTAATAAAATTGAATATTAAATTGATCAAAATAAAAGCTAATATAATAGAACTAAAATGAAATGTATTGAAATTTCAGAATTAATAAAAGGTGTTGTTNATGTATTGAAATTTCGGAATTAATAAAAGGTGTTGTTAAAATTAGGTCTATTTACAGGGGGTATTGTTAAAGTTAGGTTTATTTATAAAAAATGTGGATAAAATTTACCCTATAAAATATTCAGAGATATTTCTATAAATCAACCATCGCCATTAACAGTGTTACCTAACAATCACTAACAGGGAGTGACAGTAAAATTTCAAAATCAGAAGGAGGTGTCATTGAATTTAGACCTAATTACAAGGAATCTGAATAAAATATTTCCTTATATCTATACAAATCTATATAATAAAACACACATGAAGTTGAATTTTATCACATATATATTTTTCACCCCCAAAATTATTACATTACTTATTTTTATCGCATGCTCAATCATTTACTATTTGATTAATTTGTAACTTAACATCATTTTTATTTCAGATATTATCTATATATGATAGTATAGACTTGTTAAAAAAATTTATCGAATTACATTTTAAGAAAATTTTGTCAATATCTTTAAAAAAATAATGAATAAAAATAAATTTTGAATGATTTAATCAAGCGAATGAAAGGAAGAAAAAATATTATTTAATATAGTGATATCAATTTTTAGGATTCAAATTTTTTGTTTAATCATGTCTTCGTGCACGGGTTACGAATAAAAGAAGAGATAGAAAGACCTGGGGAACATGGATAGGCTGATTAAGCTCACCAGGCTTAATATNGAAAATTTTTTACCGCTCAAAATTTTTAGTTTCCCAAACTAACATCCCTAAATTTAATTCTCCAACTCAATCAAATCTGACAATTAAATGATCTCTCATTCCTCAACTGTGTCTCTCTCTCTCTCTCCCTGAAATACAGATTACAATTCTTATCATTATTTCGCTGATTTTATTTCCTATGTTAAATGATCACTTTCTATACTGAGACATTGACTGTCCCTCATACTCTCATCTTTCAAGATTCTCTTTCCAAACTGAGACACGTGTCTCTCCAAAATTGTATACTAATGTAACTGCTCTCCATCTTTACTGTTATGTCACACACACATCTTTACTGTACATATATATAGTACAAAAATCGAAAACATACTATATCTACATGTTATATCTTAGGGAAAGTTTCATCTAAACACCATGTAGTTGAATCTAAATTCAATGACAACCCCTATAACAATAACTTTTGTCTCTGTCAATAGATAAAATAATGATTTAACTAAATATTTTATGAAAATACTAAAATTACTCTTTATTATGTAAATAGACNTAGGGAAAGTTTCATCTAAACACCATGTAGTTGAATCTAAATTCAATGGCAACCCCTATAACAATAACTTTTGTCTCTGTCAATAGATAAAATAATGATTTAACTAAATATTTTATGAAAATACTAAAATTACTCTTTATTATGTAAATAGACTAAAATATCATCAATTTTTCCCCATTACATATGTGTTAGCCAGCCAACAAACATAATTTCAATCATTATATTATCCCAACAAATTTTTTATTTTAAAATATAATATTTGAACTTTGTTATAATATTAGTCATCATATTATCACTAATGTGGTTACATAATCAAGTTTTTATAATTTTTATATTTTTTTATCATAATAATTTTTATNATAATTTCAATCATTATATTATCCCAACAAATTTTTTATTTTAAAATATAATATTAGAACTTTGTTATAATATTAGTCATCATATTATCACTAATTTGGTTACATAATCAAGTTTTTATAATTTTTATATTTTTTATCATAATAATTTTTATAGTTAAAAATAATTTTTCTATAATAAAAATTACAATTGATAAAGTCAATATTAAAATCTCATCCATTTATAATTCATCTGCTGTCATATGTCTTCCACAACATCGCCCGACCGCGCTTCACACATCATACTTCATATATAAAATTTAAAATTATTTGATAAAATTTAATATTNTATCCATTTATAATTCATCTGTTATCATATGTCTTCCACAACATCGCCCGACCGCTTTTCACACATCATACTTCATGTATAAAATTTAAAATTATTTGATAAAATTTAATATTAANTAAGTACAAGTGTCCTTCTTGGGCTATCCACACAAACTTAGGTCTAGGATTCAGATACCAAAATACATATATATAGTTGTGGTCGTACAGATGGTATGCACCATAGTATCGCTATGTAGAAGCATTTTAGGCAAAAAGTGGATCAATGTTAAAAAATAGCACCATGACTTCTTGAATAAAACTGAGACAGCCGACTTGCCAAAGTATTCAAATGGTTTAGTGTTATACTGGGCATAAAACAATGCTTATTTCATTTGTTTCTACCGACCATAATTTCTCTCTGACAAAGAAATGGGAGATCTTCACTAATTGTAGTACTATAAGAGTTTTAACCCGACAAGGGTCATAATATTGCGATCTGGATCATTTACTGCAAGCAATGGTCGCGTAAAATAAAAAAGAGAATTTTTACTACCTTGAGATGATATTTCTTCTGCAGTGACTGCCGAAAGAGACCAGTGTATATTCCACACATCCACCAACTAAACAATAACCCCTCACAGATAAGGAAGGATGTCCTCGGGTCAATACCATGGAATGCTGCTGTTGCTGCTGCAAGTGCAATGCCGCCCTCAACAAAAATGGCATGACAGATGCATGGAGAGGTCCAAGGGGTATCTTCTCTCAATCTCTCAACATTACGCCCAAACAGAACACATGGGCAAAAAAGACCTGTCCAGCCTGTACAGGAATAATATTCTCACATTTGCAAAGATATACCTAGGAGGCTAGGAGACGTAAAGTTTGAAGCATGCCTTAAAAACGAGTGGGTATCCATTACAGAGGGCCGAATATTACTAATACAGGCTTTAGAATTGAACGAGCGAAAATGCACAGATGGACACAATACACATGAGAACTTACAACTTTCTGTGTCTTCAGCACAGCCAAATATGCCAGTCGTCCATGGTTCATCTGCAGGAGGTTCAAAGCTTTCAGGTAAAGGCTGCCCACATTCATTACACTTCCGCACATCCAGCTGCCCAATGAACCACAAGATGAGTAATTAATTCTGTACAGCGTCCCACGATTTTGTCCCAACAGTTTTTATCCTGGTTTATCATTTCGTTTCTAGACAAACTTTCCATAAGAGAACAGAAACAGTACACATGATCACATCCAAAGATTTGAACAGTATAGTTATCTGTGGTGTTGATAAAACTTGCACCATATTTGAGTTGGTAGCTGGTCAAAACTGTAGGTCATTAGGATAGTCTGAATTGGTACTCTCACGAACAACATTTTATTAATTTGTTCAATGAGTTAATTAATTCTGTAATTTTCGGATCCAATTCGGGTCAATTATCACAACAAAGACTTGATCCCTATATCAGCACTGAATTAAATTCAAGATTGCACAATGCCTCCACACACACACATATGTTTAGGTTCCTGTTTTGGCATCATCCCTAATAATCTAGCCCACACAACGACAACAAAGACTAGAGAAGCAAATCCCACACACACACACACACAGATATATATATATATATATATATAAAGTAGAATAATTTTGAATTCAAGAAACAAAAAGTGGCTCAGGTCATTTCGAGATCAAAAAAGGTATCATCCAACGGCCGATGGTATTTCAAACTGTCTCAAACTATTGACGTTTCAGATCGTTTCGATTCGACGTACCATATTACCTCTTGAAAATTTTTTACCGCTCAAAATTTTTAGTTTCCCAAACTAACATCCCTAAATTTAATTCTCCAACCCAATCAAATTTGGCAATTAAATGATCTCTCATTCCTCAACTCTGTCTCTGCCTCTCTCTCTCCCCCTGAAATACAGATTACAATTCTTATCATTATTTCGTTGATTTTATTTCCTATGTTAAATGATCACTTTCTATACTGAGAAATTGACTGTCCCTCGTACTCTCATCTTTCAAGATTCTCTTTCCAAACTGAGACACGTGTCTCCCCAAAATTGTATACTAATACAACTGCTCTCCATCTTTACTGTTATGTCACACACACATCTTTACTGTACATATATATAGTACAAAAATCGAAAACATACTATAGCTACATGTTATATCTTAGGGAAAGTTTCATCTAAACACCATGTAGTTGAATCTAAATTCAATGACAACCCCTATAACAATAACTTTTGTCTCTGTCAATAGATAAAATAATGATTTAACTAAATATTTTATGAAAATACTAAAATTACTCTTTATTATGTAAATAGACTAAAATATCATCAATTTTTCCCCATTACATATGTGTTAGCCAGCCAACAAACGTAATTTCAATCATTATATTATCCCAACAAATTTTTTATTTTAAAATATAATATTTGAACTTTGTTATAATATTAGTCATCATATTATCACTAATGTGGTTACATAATCAAGTTTTTATAATTTTTATATTTTTTTATCATAATAATTTTTATAGTTAAAAATAATTTTTCTATAATAAAAATTACAATTGATAAAGTCAATATTAAAATCTCATCCATTTATAATTCATCTGCTGTCATATGTCTTCCACAACATCGCCCGACCGCGCTTCACACATCATACTTCATATATAAAATTTAAAATTATTTGATAAAATTTAATATTAATTGAATAAATTTGATCTTAATTTTGATAAATTTAAATATTAATTGATTTTTAATTTAATAAAATTAAATATTAATTTGAATGAATTTAATGTTAATTGAATAAATTTGAATGTTGTTTTAATAAAATTAAATGTTTATTTGGTGTTAAATTAAAGAAATGACATTAATTTGATAAGGTTAAATTTTAAATTAATGGAATTTAATATTCTATTTAATAAATTAAATAGTTTAATTTAATAAAATTGAATTTTAATTTGATGTTGATTTGATAAAAATAAATAATAACTTAATATTAAATTAATTAACTAAATGCTAATTTGATAAAATTAAATATCAATTTTGTGTTGATTTGATGAAATGAAATGTTAATTTAGTTTAAATTAAATAAAGAAAATTAATTTAATAAAATTGAATATTAAATTGATCAAAATAAAAGCTAATATAATAGAACTAAAATGAAATGTATTGAAATTTCAGAATTAATAAAAGGTGTTGTTAAAGTTAGGTCTATTTACAGGAGGTATTGTTAAAGTTAGGTTTATTTATAAAAAATGTGGATAAAATTTATCCTATAAAATATTTAGAAATATTTCTATAAATCAACCATCGCCATTAACAGTGTTACCTAACAATCACTAACAGGGAGTGACAGTAAAATTTCAAAATCGGAAGGAGGTGTCATTGAATTTAGACCTAACTACAAGAAATCTGAATAAAATATTCCCTTATATCTATACAAATCTATATAATAAAACACACATGAAGTTGAATTTTATTACATATACATTTTTCACCCCCAAAACTATTACATCACTCATTTTTATCGCATGCTCAATCATTTATTATTTGATTAATTTGTAACTTAACATCATTTTTATTTCAGATATTATCTATATACGATAGTATAGACTTGTTAAAAAAATTTATTGAATTACATTTTAAGAAAATTTTGTCAATATCTTTAAAAAAATAATGAATAAAAATAATTTTTGAATGATTTAATCAAACGAATGAAAGAAAGAAAAAATATTATTTAATATAGTAATATCGATTTTTTAGGATTCAAATTTTTTGTTTAATCATGTCTTCATGCACGGATTATGGCTAATATACATTTAAAAGGGGAGATAGAAAGACCTGGGGAACATGGATAGGCTGATTAAGCTCACCAGGCTTAATATCTTCAAGAGGCACTTGATCTTTCGTCAACTTCACATACGGCGACGAAATTCTCTCTTCTGCCATCTGATCTGATGCCTTAATAGATCAAAACAAAGAAAACCTATCAAGAAACTTCCCAAAAACACCTCATCGGCGAGAACTCTGTTCTCCAATTCAAAGTCAAAACTCATTACCTTGGAGAAACCTCAGAATCAGATCTAATCTCTGTAATTGCCGATACTGGGCAGATGATACAAGCCGACGAAGAAAAGTAACCGATAAATTAGTGAGAGATAAGCCGATTGAAGAAGGAAGGAAGAATTTCTAGATTTGGGGAGGATTTTCCGTTTCATTGCACTCAGCAGGTCCACTTTAGAAATCGTAGATCACGCCTCACAAGGTTCACCTTGGTTTGGAAGTCATATTAAATTACATTCAGACCCATTGAGGTTTGTCATTTAAACAGATTAACCCATCACGTTTGGAACATGATATTGAGACCCGTGTAAGTAATAGTCAGCTACCAATCCCGATAGAAATTGCAAAGTATCTATTTTACCCTTTGATTAAAAAAACAAAAAAAAAACCAACCCAACCCAACCCAACGCAAACGCCATTTCCTAACTCCAACCCAACCCGATCAAATTTTGTTTATAGACAATCTGGGAAGAGACGGTAAGATGAGGAGGGTGGTGGCTATATAGGCAGTGGCAGAGTAATTATAAACTGTTGGGTTTGTTAGAATTTATTTGATTTATAATGGTTTTTATAAGAGGTCATTTAGGAATTTTGATTTCTAAAATTATTGACATCGTGAAAATCGGTTGGCACTTTAAACGGGTTCTAACGTTAGGGGGCAATATGTTATATTCAATACTTGAAGGGGATTGTTTGATTAAGTGACAAAATTTAAAGGGTCTGAATATAATTTACCCATACAAATATTATAGAGTCCGCCACTACGGACTGTATTGCCACGGCAAAGCTCAGACCCAGATCTCAGTCCAAACCCAGATCCTTATCCCTTTCGCACTCTCTTATCCCTTCTCCTTGTTGATCNAGCTTCAGATTGTTTTTGTTAAAATTGCAAGAAAGGGAGACTAAAAATGGTTGATCTAGGTGTTGATAGTCTGGGGGTGTCGGGTGGTTTGTGTTTGTTGGAGAGGGGGTGGTGTTGAGAGGGTGGCTATTGATGGCTTTGTGTGCCCATGGAGGAGATATAGAGTTGTATTGGTGGNTCCCCTCATATTTAATGTATGGATGACACCAAGATGTCACATTGCGTTCTTATCTAATAATAAAATAATAAATAAATCAGTTTATTTTTCATTATTTAATAACCACGCTCTTAACGTAATACAATAACTATTACATGTAACGATAGTGGAATTCATTTCATCTATTTAATTATTTTTTATTGAATTATGAAACTATGTGACGATAATGACATAAAATTATTGTTACATTGAATATTTACTTGTTTCCTTCCATCCCCATTTCCCTTGCCAACCCCCTTTTTTTTCTTAGCTGAAGATGCACAATCCCTTACATCCTCTCCCACCCTCNTTCAATCCACCATAAAATTGATAAAGCATCGCTTGACACTACTTTAATACTAGCCCAAGATGAATTTGCACAATAAAAATAAGTTTTTTAACCCCTTTTTAAAACTGGTTAAATTGAGCTCCCTTCACCAGTTTGGGAGCATTAAAACAAATATTTTCGGTAAAAGAAATAGAGAAAAATACAAGCAAGTTCAACTTGATCTTAGCCTATCCAATTGTAGCAATGATACAGATCCATTTTTTTTTTGTTGGGTTCAACAGTCTAGGGTGTTTGGGCCAGTTTACGTATGCTTCAACTAATCTCCTTCTCAATTTGCTCAAAAGTAAGTTATTCGCGTTAGAATTAGGATATTCATGGGGAATAATTCAAATTTTCAAATAGAATCAAAACAAACACCGAAAACAAAAATAATATTATTTAGACCAAATTCATCATAATCATTGAATTGGTTGCAGGATTGAAACTCAGTGTCATCCAATGATTATAAATGACAAAGTCAGCAAATTAGTTCTAAAGAGCATTGTTCTTGAAAATAAGTTAACAGTTTCAACACCACTAATAATCAAACGTTTGCTTCTTTTGATAACATACCATAGGTTTACATTAAAGACTTCTATGTATAACTTTTCATGAAAATTTTGTTCATGAGGCCCAATTTCTATACCAACCAGCCCATGCAGAGACCAACCCACTGATCCCAAGCGTGACAGCATGGTTACAGAATGGGTTTGGTTCAATTTCTGCCACCCCAATAACCAAATCTGCAACATTTGCTGCCACACCCATCAACCTCATCACTCTCTCTCCTCTAATCTTCTCAACTCTCCCCTTTTCATCCTCTGATTTTTCAGCAATCTTTCTCTCTTCCTTTAATCCCTCTCTAATGAGAAGAAAATCAATTATAATAAAGAAAATGTACCCAAAAGACTCACCAAACGCTGATACGAAGCTCATCTTCCTTGCTAAAGTGCCATCTAACACCCCGATTCTCGATAGCCAGAGAAAGTGGTCAAAGAAGAAGTAGACCATTTCACCAGCATTAGCTAGAATAGAAAGAAGCTGGAAAGCTGATGTTGAGCCGGGGTTTCGTCGAATGGCGTTGAAGCCGGTGAGAAACCGGCCAGTGCGGAAGGCTTTCCGGCTTAGACCGGAGGCGACTTCCCACTGCTTGGCTCTCCTGGCAATGTCGGGGCGCGTGACCTCGACGTGCCAGTGGAGGAGCTTGGAGACGTATTGGAAGGTCTTGACAAGCTTGTCAATGCCATCTCTCTTGGCTAGGAAGATGACCAGCTTGTCTACTGTGTCATTCATGGTGTGAGGTGTGTGTGGTTGAGGGGTTGTTAGGTGGTTCTTGTTGATGAATTGGTGAAGAGGATTAGTTCATTGGACTTATTGGAAGAGGTTTGTGTCCACTTAAAAAGTGAAACAGAGCCACAGATTATGGGAATTGGATAAAACAGTGTATTGATTTATGGTCGAGTATTTTCAACCAGAAGGATTCTTTTTGTCGTGACCAAGGGCCTTCACTACAACCAGCTGAATTATTGGATGCACATATTATCCTGTCATATACTTCAACTTAATAAATTAGGCAAAAACTAGGATAAGGAGGAGTAAATATTTTAATATGTTGAAATATCGAACGAGTCCCACATTGGTTGGCGACGAGAGATCTTGGACAATGTAAGGGAACAGGTCATTCCACCTATTAGGTGTGTCTTTTGGGTTGAAAACTCAGGTCCGATAAGTGGTATTAAAGTCATGGCTCAAGCCACTGTGTGGATTCGGCTCCTTGTGTCGGATGAGAGAATAGTGATGATCATCCATTGTAAACCTAAGAAAAGAATTGTTAAATTGTTGAACGAGTCCCAAATCGGTTGGTGATGGGTGCGTTTTTTTAAGTTGAAAACTCATGTTCAACATAATGTAACAGTTATATTGTGTCAATATTGTCAATTAAGTGTAATTGTTTAATGATAAATAAACCTGTAGGCAAATTGAACCCCATTTTTTTATTTTTTATTTTTACGTGAAATGATTACTATCTTACGTGAAGAGTAGTTATTTAAAAGAGCGTGGTCTACTTTGTCCACTTGTGAATAAAGATACATACATATTGATGTATGAAATAGATGAAAAATGGATAAATTTCTTAAAATAAGAAATTTTAAACCTTTTTATTTGAGTTAACGGTCAGGAGTGTCCGTGCTAATTTAGGTGCATTTCGACTAATCCTCTCTTCAATATCATCAACGATAGATCATCTATGTCAATACTAAAGTATTCATGAGGGGTTCATGGTTTTATTCACAGCGGTTGTCAAAATTTAAACTTAAGACGTCTGAGTTTATATCTCGTCCTTGTTATCATTCGATTTATCAAGGTTAAAATTCTAAATTTGAAGATAGGAGTGTCTATAGGCCGGGATAGTATAGGCTAGGCGTGTCAAGCGCGTCAGGTTAAACGGGTGACTAGTGAAAACATATAAACTCGTACGCGACACGTTTAATAAATGAGTGAAAAACATTAACACGAACATGACCAATTTAATTAACGGGTAATACTACACGACTTATTTAACCCGTTTAATTTTAAAAAAAATTTATCAACAAATTTTAATACTCCACTTTTTTTACTGCCAACTTTATTTACCTCAAAAAAAAGGAATTACTAGTCAAGTCTCACATCAAAATCAGATTTGAAAGTTAAAAAAAAAAAAAAAAGGTTAGAGGTCATTGCCTTTTATAGGTGAGACAACCCTCCTTATCTCCCCTTATTTGCCGATGTGAAACAAAAACAAAAAAAAGTTGGTTTGCCTTTGTCATGAATTGTTCTACATCTCCCCTCCCTTATTGAACTACTACTATACTTTTTTTTTTATTGATTTCTTTACTTCTTTTTTATGGCAAATTTTTTAAAATAATTATTAATTTATTATTATATTAATTTTATTTAAACGGATAAACATGTGATAAATGGTTTGACAAGTCTCACCCCAACATGATCCGTTTATTAAACGTGTCTGACGAGTCAATACGTTTATAACTCAAACCTGTTAAATTCGTGTTGGTTAATCGTGTTATATCGATTTTTGACATGCTTAGTGTTGGCCCAAACTCTTACCCAAGTGAGTTATTAGACGAATCGGGCGGGCTTCGAATATAGATAGGCTACCCACCACCCAACCCGCGAGCCTATTGGGCGGGCTTGCTTGCGGGTTTTTTTATATACAACTTAATTTAAAAATAATGAATATTTTTGTAAATTAATATTTTTGTAAATTATATTTTTGAATCAAACGTAGAGTCAAAATGAATAAAAATAAAATAATGAATAATTTTATTTTTGATTAGGAGATAAACTACATCCAATAGAATAAATACATCTCAACCAAGTTGACACCTATAGGGATGGTAGTGAACTGGGGAAAAACAGATATTCGTCCAAACCCGTCCCGTTTGGATCAAGGATGGATTATACGTATTAGATGGTATACGTATATGGGAATACCTATGCAAGGATGAACTTACCCTCACCCCCGCCCCGTTACCCATTAAATAATAAAATCTATCTATATATATAAATAAACTCTCAATTAAAACCCTAGGCCTAACTTATTCCTCTTCCTCAATCAATGCCGCCCCCCTCTCTCTGTCTCTCACATATCATGATTAAACAATTTTCATGGAATTGTAGAGATAATTATCATGATGAAGCAATTTTCATGAAATTGTAGCTAATTATCTCTTAGAATGATTTCCCTTATTTCAACATAATTGAATGCAAAGAAAAGAAGGCATACTATATGATGTTGTGTGTGTTATCATGAATCTGGCATTGCATGTTGAATAAACCGAAGTATATCTTTCTTGTGCTACAATAGACGTGCATTCTTTAAGTCTAATTTTTTCTAGCATGGTACAAATATTGCTCTTGATGTGTTTCTTTTGTGCTGTTGGAGCATTGAATTTATTAAAACATTAGGATGTTTATTGGATTTAGAGATCTTCAGTTAGAGTTATTATTTGCCACACTTTTTATATTGTTATATCTTCTATTCCGATCATAGGAAAAAAAAATTAAGCTATTTATAATCTTTATTTTTGATAATTCAATCTGCTATAATGTCATCCATTTAACTGTGCATGACTATGTTTGATTGGATCCTTGAACTCGATTGGTTAATCTATTTAATTGTGTACTCAACTGAATTGTACTCTTGAATTATTTAATTGTTAGATGCTTTGCTTGCTCATTTTTGTTTGATTATTTCTATTGCTTAGTTGATTAAGTAGGAACAGTTAATTATGTTTGGGCTTATGCTTGGGCTTGGGCTTGGGCTTGGGTTTGGGCGGGTACGAGGGAAGCAGGGACGAGAATTATAAATTTACCCGCAGACGATTATGAGGATGAAATTATACCCATTAGTGAAGATGGACGGGGGATGGATGAAAGTTTTTTAAGTGGGTATGGGGATGAAGACTATACCCCCGCCCCCGTTTCGGTCCATTGACATTCTTAGACACCTACTCACTTATCTATCATTTGTATTGCTTTATCTTTTAAAATTTATATCTTTAATACATGAAAAAGAAAATAATACAATATTTATAGTATCTAAATTTTTAAAACTTCAAATTATGACATTAGGAAACTTATTTTAAAAATTTAAATTTAATAATCTAAAAATATAACTTTTTTTCAAAGAAAGGGCGGGTGGATTGGGCTTGGCGAACGGACTCTTAGGTCGATTTTTAACTAATTTTTTTAGACAAACTATTGGGTTGGATAATAGATTTAAGGTCAAACCTAAATACTCTTTTTAAGAATATTAGATTCGAGTTCCAACAGATCAACTATCAGACATATCGAGTTTTGAATATATTTTTTTGGACCGAATAACTCGTGGATAATTCGACCCAGACACCCTATTCAGAGACAGTTGAAAGTCGGCACGAATTTTAAAAGTAGGATCATAATTTAAAAGTTATTTACACAATTTATCTAAAAAAAAAAGGGGCCAGAGGTGTTCCTATTTCCTAATCACTTTCTCCATCATGAGATAACTCACATGGTGGAAACCCTAAAACAAAGAACATCCACTCTCACTCAATAATCTGTTTGGATTTATCTCAAAAATACGAGTTTCAAAACCCTATCTACACAGCCATGGACGCCCAGAGAGCTTTGCTTGATGAACTCATGGGTGCAGGTAATTGCCCTAAGACTCCAAACTCTTTTTCACGATTCAATATAGAGATGCTATCACTCTTTTTCGTTCGAATTCGAATATCTCATATCAAGGTTATTATATTTATGTTGAAAATATTTTTCTTCTGGCTTTGTTAGTGCAGTTCCTTTTTTTTTAAAAAAAGAAAACGCCCAATGTCGCATTCTTTAAATTGGGACTTTTGGGTTTTTTATTTTTATCTTCAATCGTTTTCATTTAGTAGTTCTATGACAAAGTATGGTATATACGTGTCTATATAGCAATAACAATTGTTGTTTTACTTCAATTTGATTTGATTTAATGTATTTATTGTTTACTTTGTTTCATTTTGTTTTGGGTATCTATTAATAGCTCGGGATCTGACTGAAGAAGAGAAAAAGGGATACAAGGAAATAAAATGGGATGATAAGGAAGTTTGCGGATCCTATATGGTTCGATTTTGTCCTCACGATCTCTTCGTTAACACCCGGAGTGATCTAGGTGGGTTTTTGATTATACTTCTATTACGATTCTGCTTTGTTTCAGTGATTGGTTGACGGGGAAGTGCAGGAGGGATCTTTTTATGTTCTCCATTTTCCCAGCAACCACTCGAGCCAATGATTAAATGCATATTTTTGCCACTAAAGGTTTTTGTTTGTGCTGTGTTGTTTTGCATCAGGAGTGTGCCCTAAAATTCATGACCCAAAGTTGAAGGAAAGGTAATGGACGAGTATGGTGTTTATTATTGGGATGTGGAACTGTTATAAGTATACTTTGTGTTATAAGTATGCATAATGGGTTTTGTTTGTCGGACATTATGCCTTTGTTTTGAAGTAATGGAAAAATGGTGCTTTGNAGGGATGTGGAACTGTTATAAGTATACTTTGTGTTATAAGTATGCATAATGCGTTTTGTTTGTCGGACATTATGCCTTTGTTTTGAAGTAATGGAAAAATGGTGCTTTGTGTTTAAGAGTTTGAGGTTGACTTGTACTTTTTATCTGTTTGTGATCATATTGGTTTCTTCGAATTTGAAAAATTACAGAAGCTAATAATGAGTTTTTCTTGACTTTCTTTTATAACCCGTTTTTATCTCTCTTTTTGGGGTCCTTTTTTAGTTAGTTACTTGATTTATAGATGTGATGTAGGGCGAGCCTTTTTTGAGTTACAAGTGTGATTTGCAAATTAGACATTGGGAGTTATGTTTCTTGCATTAACATTTTTTATCAGATCATTGTGACAAAGGGGAATTCGATTCTCCTTTCCCAAGCAATGGATGTATTTCATAGTCTGTTTCTTTGCTGGAGAATTTAAGATTATCTTGTTTAATTGATTGTCACCCTGATATATGTGATATCGAAGAGATCAATTAGCACCACCCCTCCCCTTTTGTGGGGGGAGGGGGTGACTGCCCAAAGAACCCCCCTTTCAGGAATTCTTAAGATTTTGACGCAATGGGGGACATTATCCGAAGAAGATAGTATTACTGTAGGGTCAGTGTATTGTTTTGACAAGTCCCGTAGTTTTGTTCTTTTAAGTTTTTTATCATCTCTGATATTCACTGACTTTTTTCTGCTGGTAACATTTTGGCTAAAGTAATTGTATTGGATCAGACTGGTAATTTGATTTTGTTGGTGGTGCTGCTGTGCTACTCTACCACTTTGTTTCTCTCCCTTGCTCGCCAAAGATGATGCTTTTGCCCTAGAGAATAATTCAATGCATTTAAAGTTTATCTTTGTTCAATTTTTGCGTAATTGTTTTAGATATGCTTCTTCTTAGTCATAAAAATAATGATTTTGAAAATTTTACATGAACCAGGTGGGGCAGAATGATTTGGTTATATCATATAGTATTAAGTACTCCAACTGAACTAAAGGCCATACTGTAGTTTTCTCAGAGTATCAGTATCTTTGCTTTCAAGTTTGCACATATGAGCTCTAAAGATGGTACGAGCTTGCTAGTTTACCTATATTTGATACTTCACTTCCTGTTCTTGCAACATTCCTCTGTCCACAAATCGGACGTGCATGTGATGACATCAACTTTCCAAATACAAAGACCTCTGGTGCAGTAGAAAGGGAATGGTTTGTGTAGAGAACTTTGAAGCTTTGGAAATAATCGATTGTGGTTTCTCGTTTCCAGTACACTAACATTTAAAACAAGTATCAATGTAATCCAAATTTTGTTCTATGCAAACAATAAAGTTTTGGATATGAAGGTCAATTGGATGGCTGGTTTTTCTTGTGTTAAATGATGCACATTATGTCGAAGCATATGGATGATTTAGCTTCTCTTCAACAAATTTTATCTATAAACATCAGTTAGCGTGAACTTGTCATGCATTTGTAATTTTGCTAGGGATGGTTTAATCTTGTAGGAAAGGTAATTTCTCCTCAAATTATGTCTTGTTTTTTTCTCATACATTATAAATATGCTGTCTGGTATCTTTCTTTTACCTTCTTTCTTCTGTATCATTTTATACGCACCAGTTGTTATAGTGGTAATGGAGGTTTGTTGTATATGTTCTTTAGTTTTGAGAAGTCCCCAAGACATGACTCGCACGTACCCAGGTTTGAAGCGGAGTTGGCACATTTCTGTGAGAAATTGGTAAGGTTCTAATTTCATTAATCTCCTAACTCATGCACTTAAAGCTTAAAGTGTAAAGCTCCTCAGGTTGGGGACTTAAATAGAAGAGTTAGACGTGGACGAGAACGCCTTGCCCAAGAGGTTGAAATTCCACCACCTCCTCCAATCTCTGCTGAAAAATCTGAGCAGTTATCTTTGCTGGAGGAGAAGATTAAAAACCTGCTGGAACAAGTGGAGTCTCTTGGTGAAGCTGGCAAGGTTGATGAAGCTGAAGCGCTCATGAGAAAGGTGGTGCTAGTATTCAAAATCTGGTTTAGATTTAATTCCCTGAACCCACCCTGAATCTGTCATTATGATATCTATGGGAATTTAACTTTCAGAATTTGTTCTTTACAGGTGGAGATGCTTAATGCGGAGAAGACTGCCTTGACTCAGCAACCCCAGAATAACAAAGTCTTAATGATTGCGCAGGAGAAAATAATGTCTCTATGTGAGATATGTGGTTCTTTTCTAGTAGCAAATGATGCTGCAGAGAGATCTCAGTCTCATGTCACTGGCAAGCAGCACATTGGCTATGGCATGGTCAGGGATTTCATCTCTGAGTATAAGGTGAGCATGCCTTCAATAATTGATGTATAGTTGAAAGCTGTCCTTCACAATTGATCTATATGTCCGAATGGCTAATATTAATTTTTGATTACCAGGCAGCTAAGGAGAAGGCACGGGAAGAGCAAAGATTAGCAAGGGAGAGAGAAGCAGAAGAACGCAGGAAGCAAAGGGAAAAGGAATCCGAGACTAGACGTAGAAGGAGTGAGTCATCTGACAGGGACAGGTATCATGATAGGGATCAAGATAGGAATTGGGATCAGTACCGAGAACGAGACCGTAACTGGTCTCAAGAGAGGAAAAGTAAGGGAAGCCGGGATGGGGGAAGAGGGTATAGCAACTCCAGAAATGGAAGAGACAGAAGCAGGGACAGGTACCATGAACGTGATAGGAGCAGGTCATGTTCCCCTGTTAGGCATGGTTACGGGAGGAGATCCAGAAGTCCAGTTCACCCCCACCCAAATTAATGGATTGTCTAGATATATGTCTGATCTTTTGGAATCAGAAGAGGTAGACATTTCTATAACTCATGAAGTCTGATGAACATATGCTTTTAGTCTCAAGTTTTATTGTCATTGTGTGAAACTGTTTCTTTCTTCTCACAGCTTTGTACCCTCTCTATTTCATCAATATAATGGGTAAAACTGTTTCTTTGTTCTCACAGCTCTGTACCATCTCTCTATCATCAATATAATTAGAGAAGGTTTGAGGTAGGTATAACTTCACTGTTATAAATCTAATCGTATATTTCAGGCTTTGGTTTACCTTATTTTTTTAAGCATCATCTTTGAGATACCGTACCTGGAGTTTTTGATCCCCTTCTTTTGGGGGTCATTGTGCAACCTTGTTATCATTTAGTTGGAAGGACAGATTCGATATTTATATGCATGGGTAATACTGCTGCTGAAGGAGATCATTGGTTTTTTGCCACCTGCGAGGTAACATAAAAGTTCCAATTTTGTCATGGTTGCTGCCATGCAGTGATTTCTCTATCATCACAAATTTTGGCTGCTTTACTTTTGATTACTCAGATGGCTTGTGTGAATCCCGGCTTGCCATTGCTGTATCATTGCCATGCTCATGTGCTCATTAATGTGATTTTCTTGGAGATTCTCTATCGAATTTTTGTGTTGAGGTACAACATATAAGGAAACTCTCTGCTTCTCAACTCTTTCTATCCTTGTCCCTTCCACTGAATGTTAATTAAATGAGTTTATCTATGCGTGTACCATGCTCCGATGAATGGTCAGTAGACATGAGGAATGGCAGAACGAGTTGTTTCCAACCATAATGTCATTTCCATAAATAAGAAATTGTGCAAAAGAGCACATAATCGTGTAAAAGACCAATTTTGAAATTGTACTGTATATGATTAGGAAACAAATGCTCCCCTTTGAATAGATTTGTTCCGCATTTGCAGAGTTGTATCCTGTGGCTTCCTTTTTCCCTCTTCGAAGTGTTTCTTTGGCCTGGCTAAGATTTTAGAAATGCGTGTTTTGGTGTGTCGAGGTAATTGACACTTGAATTGCAGGAAGGAGGTACTCTGGTGAACCTTGTTTGGATTGGTGGCTTGCAGATGGTAAGAATTTTTTTCCATATTTTTGCAAGAAGTGGTTTTTGCAGGGAAAATTTTTGAGAGAAGTTGCTGCTTGGTAAATTAATTATGTCCAGAACAGTATTGAAACTGAGGAAGCCTTTTGTAATAGAAGTTGGGTGGACAAACATCACTATTAGAAGCCATCTGTTCCCAGTAATGGTCATGGAACCTTTTTTGTTATCTGACAGTTTGGTCTAGTATATATATATATTTTTTTTCCTGAAGTTCAAAATCTCTTGGTATAATATTTTAGTTCCTCATACAAATACAATGTAGTTTCTCCCATATATCTTAAAGAAGCCCTTCCTACAGTTTTCACAATTTTGAGTCGATGAATCTTATTTAGCCTTTGATAAAAAAGAAGAAAAAACCTCAATCTCAGAGCTAATTAATGGAGGTGAGGCTCTTGGTGCAAATTTAAGTTTATTCCATTGGGATTTGTCAGGCAGTGACAAGAGTGCACAAGAACTCTTTTATTTACCAGGTTTCAAAATGGTCCTAGTTTTCCTGTTGGCCATGATTATAGTTTATGGAATGCTTTGAGGTCTCCATGGTGGTTATGAGACCGACTANCTTTCTCCCATATATCTTAAAGAAGCCCTTCCTACAGTTTTCACAATTTTGAGTCGATGAATCTTATTTTGCCTTTGATAAAAAAGAAGAAAAAACCTCAATTCATTCATGATTTAAGCTAGGTCTCAGAGCTAATTAATGGAGGTGAGGCTCTTGGTGCAAATTTAAGTTTATTACATTGGGATTTGTCAGGCAGTGACAAGAGTGCACAAGAACTCTTTTATTTACCAGGTTTCAAAATGGTCCTAGTTTTCCTGTTGGCCATGATTATAGTTTATGGAATGCTTTGAGGTCTCCATGGTGGTTATGAGACCGACTACACAAATGTTTTTCTTTTTTGGGGTTAACACAGGTGACCCTCAAAGAAGCACTGTAATAGCTGAAGATCTGAGCCCCCGGTCTGTCTGATTGTAGTTTAAAAGTGACAGAAATTGAATTCACCACTCAGCTGTCATACGTTTTTTTGGTAAATTCAATCGCCTCCACTTAGCTGATAATATGACTTTCATTGAATATGCAGGAGTTTGTTTATTCAATGGTCAAACAATAGAGCATAAATTTACATGAGTTTTTTGACTGAATATGGTTAATGGAATTTGAAAATTTTGTTATAACTTAAAAACATCGGTTCAACTGGGAAGCAACACTTCAGCTGCACATGTGAACCAAATTATCCAATTCTTTCAAAATTCGCTACAACAGGGAAAAAGAGAGGGGCGAGGGGGAGGGGGAAGATAGACTAATGAAACCTATAACCCATCTATGCAAATTCGGCCAAGTTTAATCGGGTAATTATAGTGAGAGAAACATTTCCTGTGAATAAAAACCTTATTACGAGATAAGAAACAAAAATTTTAATTCTAAGAATAACTTTAAATGGTACNGTATGACTTTCATTGAATATGCACGAGTTTGTTTATTCAATGGTCAAACAATAGAGCATAAATTTACATGAGTTTTTTGACTGAATATGGTTAACGGAATTTGAAAATTTTGTTATAACTTAAAAACATCGGTTCAACTGGGAAGCAACACTTCAGCTGCACATGTGAACCAAATTATCCAATTCTTTCAAAATTCGCTACAACAGGGAAAAAGAGAGGGGCGAGGGGGAGGGGGAAGATAGACTAATGAAACCTATAACCCATCTATGCAAATTCGGCCAAGTTTAATCGGGTAATTATAGTGAGAGAAACATTTCCTGTGAATAAAAGCCTTATTACGAGATAAGAAACAAAAATTTTAATTCTAAGAATAACTTTAAATGGTACTAGAGAAGAATTATAAACTTAAATGTCATGAATTTAAATTTTGATAACTCTTTATAATCATGCCATCAAAATTTATCCTTTATAAATATCTTAATCTTGACGTAAATGACTTGCCTTTGATTAACTAGAAAAGAGATTATTAGTAGAGATGCACATAAGTTGGTCTAGATACCCTCGATTATTGAACCAAAAAAGGGCACAAGAACTTCCAACGAAAATTGAAAAAGGTAAACGTAGGTGGGCAAGAGATCCAACTAATATACAAAAGAAAACAAGTTGCCACCATGATTNTAACCCATCTATGCAAATTCGGCCAAGTTTAATCGGGTAATTATAGTGAGAGAAACATTTCCTGTGAATAAAAGCCTTATTACGAGATAAGAAACAAAAATTTTAATTCTAAGAATAACTTTAAATGGTACTAGAGAAGAATTATAAACTTAAATGTCATGAATTTAAATTTTGATAACTCTTTAAAATCATGCCATCAAAATTTATCCTTTATGAATATCTTAATCTTGACGTAAATGACTTGTCTTTGATTAACTGGAAAAAAGATTATTAGTAGAGATACACATAAGTTGGTTTAGACACCCTCGATTATTGAACCAAAAAAGGCCACAAGAACTTCCAACGAAAATTGAAAATTGAAAAAGGTAAAAGTAGGTGGGCAAGAGATCCAACTAATATACAAAAGAAAACAAGTTGCCACCATGATTTCAGCTATCTGACTTTGACCAAGGGGAGTAGTAGCCAGGATGTCTTCTGATGAGGAGAGACAAAACTTAATAACCTCATATTTTCAAAATTCATCATTCCAAATTCACACGACGCATCTTGCACACGAGATTGGCAGTCGGAAGATCAAGCTGATTACCTGAATCTGATTTCACAATGTCCTTGAGCTGATCTCTTGGTGTTGAGAGGCATGAGTGGAATGTGGCAAGGACTGGAGGGATGGGCATTGATAGAGCAGAAAGCACATTACTCAAGTACTCAATATCAACAGACACTTGTTGTGCTCCACGATCTGTTATAAATTGAATACCCCGCAACTGGTCCGTGTAAAGAGCAGTAGCACCCTCTGCAACCTTTACAACAATGATAGAAAAGCATTAGTAATCTTCAAGGCTCAAGTGATGATTGATGATTTTACAGGTTTGGAGGATATTTTTTGTCTGCAAAGGTTTAAAACAAGCAACGCAGGCCAAAGCTTTCCCGAATTCATCGTTTCCACAAACAATTACCAGGCAATTGGCATTGATTATGAGGATAATTTACCGGCATGGAGGAGATTTTGTCATAATAGGTTTAAAGAAAGCAGCATGCACCTTTCACTAATTCACATATTTCATATTTGTTTGCTTGTGCACTCCACATAAAGTTCTTCTCAGCTGCTTGACAATGCTATTCATTATCATTCTCACTTTATTTAGCAACCAACCTGATTTCAAAACTGTCACTAGCACTTCAATCTACTAGCAGGGTACCAAGTGCATTGCATGTGAAAAACATTAGGTGATAAAAATTTTCCTGAAATCTATAAAATCAAGTTAATTGGCATCTGTTATTTTTCAAGTCTACATTCGCATTTTAGTAGCATGTAAAGACAATTAAAGAACCTATACAAGGTAAATCTGTAATAAGAAAACAATAAAACTAAATAGTCCAGATTTAATTTGGAAAGTTAATATTTTCTCAATATACTTTGTAACGATAACTACATGACTCAAAAGTTATTCAAATATCCTGACATTTAGATGGTTTTATTTTATTTGATCCATTGTTTTTTATGTTTTCATGGACGAGACTTCTGCCATTGCGGGGGATGGTTGAATGTACTCAATCTTACACTCAGATGTGGAGAGAGACTTTCTACGGCTCAAACCCCTAACTTCCAATTCACAATGGAGCAACCTTACCATTGGCAAACATGGTCCAAAATCAACAACTAAATTCTAAATATTGGAATAGTGAACCTTAGTTGGATTTGAGTCTAATATCTAACACCATGTACAATAGTGCTGCAGGTTAGCACTGATCTACTTTAACACTCCCAGGACATTGCACTGGGGGAAACAGCATCAGGAAGAAATAGTTTATAAAGATATGAGCATACAGATACAAGAGTAACAGGATTGCTTCTTAAAAGGAAAGGGTTGTTACCTTGAACATCCATTCAGCTGCAAAGAATTGTCCCTCATCAGCATTGGCATCAGTATTAGAAATGCCCTCAGCAAGTGGCTCTAACTGCTGGGGTAATGTAAGAAGATATTCACCAACACTGGTCACATAAGACTGGGGATATGAACTAAAGCTTGGGAGAGAGAAGGCGCTTGGTTCCTCGACCAAAGACCAGATAGGAAGACGAGATACATCAGAAAAGCATTGTCGTACTTTGGATATGAGGACATCATAGACGTGTTCATTGACGGCATCTGCAAATGCGGCTACTCGTTGAGATGCAATTGGAAGTGCATGAAACCGAGGATCTTTAGACTGCAAGGGAACATATGAAACGAGCTATGAATATGAAGCAAATGCTGAACAAAAGAATACACACATGCATGTGTCTTGGGAGAGGGGAGATTACAGTGGGTGTAAACCTGTTTCTCTGAAGGTAGGCTTACACCTGTTTCAGTAGAGGCATTCTTAAGTTTTTACTGATCAGATCATTCAATTGATCTCTCCTATTAAATAAACTTGCAATTAATCATCTAGTCACATTTCATATTTTCATTGGAGACTTGGCCATACGGGGTTCGGCATATATACTATATACTATCCCCAACCAGGCAACCACCAGTCATATTACCAAGTGTATCGTCCCCAGGGTGCATGTGAGGTGAGGGGAGGGGAGGGACATGGGTTAGTACTTTCATGTTGAATTACCTGCTCCAAANTTGTGAGGGGAGGGGAGGGACATGGGTTAGTACTTTCATGTTGAATTACCTGCTCCAAAAGGTTGAAGAGTTTTCGAGCCTTTTCAGGAACATCAAGAAGCCTGAGACCTGCCATATCCAAGGCCCCCCTACCAGCCATTGACAATCTCCCATTTCCATCATCATCAGATACATGTGACTGATTCTGGTCAATACTTGAACCAAATACAGAAAGGGACATGTTTGTGCTCAATCTTGCAAGAGTAGCTCTCAAGGAAGCTTCAAAGACTGAAGATCTGCTGGTTAAACAATCTGCAACTGTGAGGATTTGCAATGCACCTTGGACAATGGACCACTCTTCCTCATTCGAAATCGAGTCACCTTTACGTGCAGTGGAAGCTCCTTCATTTTTGTCCGACCCTAATTCCTTCTTGGAACCACCACCATCAGCAGTAACATCCACTCCACATACAGCTCTTAGTGATTTCAGGTTTTCATTCAGGACGGAGATGTACTGCAACATTATGTCATCAAGTGCAAGAATTAGCTCATCCGCCTCAGAACCGCCAGTAAAGTTGATGCATCTCTCAACAGCTGCTTCAAGAAGCACAATGACCTGTGGGATGGACTCTTCCATCCTTCGAACTGTTTCACTGAGCTCAATTCCCTGGCCACCAACCCCACGAGTAACAGCTCCTCTAAGATCAATTTCTGCAATCTCAGCAGAAAGGATAACTCGCTCCATTTGTCCATACCTACAACACAGGTTCACACATCACTAGTTAAAAGAACGATTAAGGTAATATATGGATAGGGTTATACATGTGCATACACAATAGGTATGTAACAGACAATTTCCATCACACCAGAGGCAACAAGTACAACACGAATGGCATCCCAGAAAAGCCACCCAATTTCAAGAGTTTCAGAATTTGGTGCAATAAATATCTACTGTAGCTGAAACTAGATAAAATACTGAATATGATTGCAGAAACAAAGCTCAAGTATAGTGATTTCAGCAATCCACTTTGCTTGAAAGTGTGAGTTTCATATATTCTAAGTTCATCTTATGTACAAACATGGTGTAACATGTGCTGGCTTGAGGTTTAGCATGCACAAAAAATACTGCTATGTACAACCATTTCATTCTTTTTCTTTGTTTTTTTTTGAAGGTAATTTCATTCATTTTCATGCAACCAATAATCTCCCCTAGAGCCACTCTTCTACTAGAGACATGGTTTGAAGGATCGGCTGATACTGATACGAGTTGTTACGTTTAAATCCTGAGTTTTGCACTACTCGGCCGAGTTGTCCAAGTTGTCTCTGATTCAATCCCGAGTTATCGTCACCGAATCTGTCGATATGGTTCCGCGACGCTGCAATATGACCTAATTTTTTTTATCAGATTCAACCATCGTATTGCTCGGTGTCTCAGAGCCCTCCGAGTCGATAGCCGATACCGCAGCTTTGAACCATGACTAAAGATGATGTTAGCATGTTACTGCACTGCATCCAAGATTCTGAAATGGTGTACTCAGAAAAATAATTTGGCAACTCCAATATGCTAAGTTGAAAGTTGCAAGGAAATAATATCTAGCCACGAAAAGCTTTTTTTTCCAGGTGAGATATCAGTTTCAGTTGAAGGGGAAGCCCGACTCTAAAACCAACTAGAAAGTTCTTTACGTTTAAGGAAAATTCATTCCCATTCCCCAAGAATATATTAGGAGGCACCCTGCAATATTTTACAAATAGATGTTTGAAAAATTCACACACTCTACACAAGAAATCATAAATTTACTTCATATCGCCTTACTTTTGTTTAAATGATTCGTAAGGAAGGTACACTGCCTTCAATGTGTCCAACAAAACCCGAAGATCTGATTCTGAGAACAGATGCTGAGTATTCTTTGCAAAACTCCCCGTCATGTTGTGTAATTCTATCAGTGCCTCCAAATGCTTAGTCTGAACTTTGACACCTTTTGGCATATCCCCAGATAAGACATCTAATATACCTGAAATCATATAGATGGAACAGTATAAGGATGGGATGCTTGGAAACTGTTCCCTAGTTGAAAAATGAACAAAAGACCCAAGGTACAGTGCATGAATCAAAATTAATAACTTAATTTTCTCCCTTAATTGGATGTCCAAACCTGAGGTTGCCAAATCATTTGAAAAGCTGCATCATCTGCTATCCAGTAGTTAACATGAGGGGTATCTCCAGACAACCCAAAAGGAGGAGGTACATGGATCATTCCATGGGTGCTTATTTATTTATTTAAAAGAAAATCATTTAGCTAACATGAAAAAACTTTGATTAACAGTAAGTCCACTATGAACACATTAGTTGGCCACAAAAATCCCATAATTTCTCAAATGATAAGGCTAGCTGTGGCATGTTTATCTCAAAGGCATTCACTGTTTGAGGTGCAGAGACATGCTAAGAAGCAACTGGACTGGACAGAGACAATCAAGTAGCCAATGGAGATACAACCGCAAAACCTAAAATGTCTTTTTGAACACCGAGACACTAGGAGCCTTTGTAAGTGACCTAGACAAAGTTCCTTTTATTGGGCATCTTCCAAGGTACGCATAGAAGCTTTTCAAGCAACAGGATTATGCCCTAATGTGCATCAATGGCTCCCTCAACAGACCATCTCAAACTGCAAAGAAATGTAAATGCTCTCTTATCCAATAAAAGTGCAAGGAAGGACTGTTTGTTTAAGTATGTATAACCTTTTCCTTTATAATAAATGGAGGGAAAGAAAAGTTCTTCTGTTGTTACTCATTAGATGCTTCATCACCTTGAAGCCAAACACATCAAAAGGATTCATCTAATTACGTATCAAGATAAGTGGATTAATTTTTGACAAGTGCAAGAACACCAGCATCCCTTAAAAACCCGAGATGTGCATGTGGTGTGATTATATTTTAGGCTAAATCAAGAATATCTTCAATCTTTATCCTGAGGATCAACAGAAACCTGAACAACGGATGCCATGTGACTTTCAAATTATTTGAATGAGCATACATCATCTAAAGGAAACATTGATCCATATTGTGGAGATCCAAATATGTCAAAGAAGCAACCTTTTGCCAAAGATTTTGTTTCAGGAACAGCATCTCCAGTAGCAATGTTGACATGGGCTACAAAACTTCCACCAATGGCCACCATTGTCTCAATCAGTAGCTTTGGAACGAGAATTTTATAATCATCTGGGAAAGCAAGCATACACCTGCAGACAAAAGGTGTACAAAGCAAAATGTTTAATTTTAATAACAGAAAAAAGGAAACTCTAGATATTACATTCTTACACCTTTTCTATCCTTCAGAATTTATTTTAAGGGGACAGCCCACTATACATTACGAGAAGGTAGGTTTTTCTTATTCAAGTGCACAGGCCATACATGATTTAAAGAGGAAGCAAGTTCAAGCCACCAATTGAATTTCAGAAATCAGAAGATCAGGGAAGCACATGACCATGCACATGTGATAAAATGTAATGAGATGTCGATACCGTTTTTTAAAGGGATAACCATAAGCATAGACACCCAACACCCCAAGGTGTTCTGAAATTGCAAATTAAATTCCCCATATACATGTATTTCATGTTAAAGACAGAATGAACTACATTGGCTGTTGGTTGGCTACATATTCACGCATTGTACCTTTGCCAAAACACACAACAATGCACTTTAAGAAAACCCAAGAGGAAGTTATGCTGTTAAGTTGGAATCTAGTACAGAAAGTGAAGCTTAAACTTCTGTCCTGTTGAGGCCTTCTAAAGTTTGAAAGCTAGAAAGTATGCTCCCATAGATCCTGATATCAGCAAATTAACGAATGTGGGGGTTTACAAGAGTATGCTATCTCATGATACAATGGTGAAATCAATGCAAACATATCCAAACTTCCAGGATCCAGATAGTTATTCCCCAGATAAGACAAATGACCAAATATAATCTCTCTCTCTCTCTCTTTCTCACACACACACACACACATACCAGGAATATCAAAAGAGAAAAAGGCATTGTTGACCCTGATATCAGTCAGCCTCAAACTCTAAGATGTGTTTCAAAGAAGAGATACTAATTCTCTGTAACGTTTACTCACTGTGTCAATTTCTGAGGGCTATCCATGTCATGCAATAGTATAATGGACATAGAAAACCAAGAATGGAAGAACTTTATATCTTGTTTCAACCAAAGGTATGTAAGGAAGAAAAAGAACTATACCATTTCCATTCTTGTTCAAGATAAAGTAGCAACTCATCATAGAAACTTGGCAGCCAACTTGAAAACGACTTTGTCGGCAAACTTGATTGAACATCATGAATACTTGAAAGCCTTTCTACTTCATTCTTCTCACTTGCAAGCTTATTAACTTGTTGCCTTGAGCCAAAATCTTCCCACAGCTGTTTTATGGGCTTGAGATGGACTTTGGTATAGTGCTGCTCTAAGGACTTGTATCTCCCAATCCGTATGAGAATTCCCCGCAAATCTTGAGCAACATCTACCTAAATGTTCATTAGGTGGATCAATCTTACCTAATTTTACCATGTATAATTAAAGACCACAAAAGAAGAAGAAGAAAAAGAAACAAAGGTCACCTTGCGATTGCTTAATGCGTCTGTGAGACGAGGTTGAACCATATTGTCTAATCTATCCTCTAACACTTCAAGCTGTTTCCTAACATTGGCAAATTCAGCAACCTGAAAAATTCCAGATCAAAATCAATTCATAACTGCACAGCGAATGAAAATTAATTAGCAATCACTTTTTAATTTTGATTTTTTTTTCTAGGTAAAAACTTACATCCCCAACAGCAGATAAGCAATGCCTCATGTTGGCCAAGGTTTCTGCAGCATGAGGAAGATCACCGCTGGCAAAGACATCCTCCACCGTCGAACTTAATTGAGTTAGCCCCGCAGCATCCTATATATTAAAAGATTTAACTCCTAATTCACCACAGTGTCTAGTCTTTGGACAATCGGATTAACCAAATATGAATTAATCAACGCCACTGTTGCAACAATCACAAACCTGCAATGTCTCATAAGCCGCTTCCATTCTTCGCTTGACGGTATCAAGTTTGGCAAGTGTAGTTATACATTCAGCTGAATATCCCTCTGCCTATAGCAAATAGTTTTAGTTTAGAGGAAGAAAGTGAATCTTCCTACATATAATCATAGTCCTTCAATTCAGCCTAATTCAATTGTAAACCTACATATTTGCACGCACAAGGACGATTCCAATTCGAAAAAAAACATACACCCACCCACCCACACACACACACACATCGTTATATTACTTTTTTGATATTTTGGAGGATGGAGGCGACGGAGGAGCGGAGGGATAGTGCGTCTTCGAGTAGGCGATTGGCGTCGCGGGTGGCGCGTGGGACACGAAGGTGGGCGGCGGCGCTCTGCTCCTCTAGGGAAGCGGCGATCTCCTCGGACATCATTTGGAGCTTCATCTCCAGATCCCCCAGGTGTTTGTCCAATGGGTCCTGAGGGTGGCGTGATTGGCATGCGCTGTTTATCCATTTCTTGGGATCGAAGTTCTCTTCTGAGAACGATCCCAGATCCACCATCATCTTTGCTCGATCAATGGAAAGTCGGCAGAGATATCTGTGCCTTTCTTTCTCTCTCCTCTTCCGTTTTGATTAGTGAAGAGTTTGTATCAGTTGGTGTCGTGGAAGGGGTGGGATTATTTTTGGAAACCCGTCTCGGACCGACGGGTTGATCCGGGAATCTAATAAACCGGACGGTTACTTTGAACATGCCGGTTTTTTGCCAAACCATTTAAACCGGATAGTTTTAATTACACCGACTGGGTCATTAAAGTTTTGGTAATGGCTCGCAAAGTGTTGATATTCTATTCTTGATTTCGCGAGAGATATATTTTGTATAAATATTTTAATTTTAACATAGATAATTTGTGTTTAATCAAATCAAGGAGAAGATTAGTAGAATTATACATAAATTGACATAAATACTCATAATTATTAAACAAAAAAATAATTATAATTTCTTAAGCCAAGTGAACGTTACTTGTGAGATGAAATTGTTTTGGATGGATCAGCCCAAGTTTGAAGGTCCAAGAATATTGATGAAGGTTCTAGAACTTTCTAGATTTTTTTGGAACTTTCAACACTACCTCCCCACTCGGTGTATTTATCCACCACTCTCGCACAGTTTATCCAATTCTCTCTCATTGCCTTTTCTTGCTCTCCAAGCTTTGGGAAAGTGGCTTCTGCACTTGCTCTGAAACGGTTTGTCTCTTCAAACCTTCTCACCAAATTTTTACGTCTGGTTGTTGCCATCACCGATCATTCTACCTCATCTCAGCTCTTCATCGCCAAGGTTGTCCATGACTACGACAGCAGTTATCTAAGCAGCGACGACGATCACCGCTCTAATCAATACGTTACAAGAAAATCGTTATTGCTCTGCCTTCTCAGGTAGTCGTTATCACACTCTGTGACTCTCTCTCTATCTCTCCTCACTCACACACACACACTCTAGTTATAGATTTGTTAAGTGCATATATATAAGTCTTGTTTTTGATACTGAATTTTTTGTTTGCAAGCCGAAGCATACGTAATTGATCCACTCTCGCCATCCTTCTTGGGAACCAAATTTTAAGGTCGCCGAGGCTGGGGCATCAAAAAGACCGAGGATAACATTCTGATGATCGAAGGCAGGCTTGAAAAGGGATCGGGTGGTGAAGTTGAAGAGAGCCAAAGTAAGCACCGATGATGCCCAAAATAGTCAAGTGCAAGATTAACAGTTGAATGTGTGATAAAATGTAATTAATGAATAATTTATAAGGCAATCAACGGTAATATAAATATTGACTCCAATGGCAACGATGGTCAGGAACTCTTTATTGATCAAATATGATGAATAAGAGAAAGTAATGGTTAGTTCTAAGATAGATACAATAGCTAAGAGAAATAAAAGTTATGTGTGAAGAGAGGTGTAGAGGCACAGCTCAATTTGTCATCTCATGTAGGGAAAGATTTACAATTTATAAGCACTGAACTTTGGTTAAGACAGTGACTTGAGGGCAAAGGTACTACTTTTTTGGTTGTCTGTAAAAGGTAATTGTCATATAAGCTTGTCTTGATTTTCGGGAGGAAATATCTCAATGATTACTTNGTGTATGATAAAATGTAATTAATGAATAATTTATAAGGCAATCAACGGTAATATAAATATTGACTCCAATGGCAACGATGGTCGGGAACTCTTTATTGATCAAATATGATGAATAAGAGAAAGTAATGGTTAGTTCTAAGATAGATACAATAGCTAAGAGAAATAAAAGTTATGTGTGAAGAGAGGTGTAGAGGCACAGCTCAATTTGTCATCTCATGTAGGGAAAGATTTACAATTTATAAGCACTGAACTTTGGTTAAGACAGTGACTTGAGGGCAAAGGTACTACTTTTTTGGTTGTCTGTAAAAGGTAATTGTCATATAAGCTTGTCTTGATTTTCGGGAGGAAATATCTCAATGATTACTTTTCATGTACTCTAATTCTTCTTAGACTCCTTAAAATTTAGGATGGGTCAAATTTGCGATTTAGACTTACCTGTTTTTAAGTTGAGTTATGCTTGTTTGATTTATTATTGAGTTTGAGCCAGTTAAATTTGGGGTCACAAGTACAATGCTGAGATTGAACTTCCTGAGAAGCTATACAAGACTGAAGAGATCAAGGCGGTGATGAAGAATGGTGTGTTGAATGTGATGGTGGCCAAAGTGAAGGACGAAGAGAGGACTGTTGTGATCGATGTCAGGGTAGAGTAATTTTGGTTGATCTGCTGTGAGCCTGTGACTGATTGTGAGTCTTTCTTAGTCTCTTTGCTTCAGCTTTGTTCATAAGCATAGTTTCTTTCTTGTTAGGAGGTTTTTGGGTTGGTAAAAAGAGGAGAGTCACATTAGCGAGTCACTGAGTCTTCTCCCAAATGCAATGAAATTACCATTTTGTAGTTACTTTCAGTCTTATCATTATGAATGTTAAACAGCAGTTTCCGATACATTTTGAAAACAGGGGAGTCGATCGACAGACTACTCAACACACCCACTCACTTCTGATTTCGTTTCCTATATATTCGTTGAACGAACTAATCATGTTGTTAGTTATAGTACGCTTAAACTGGGAATTGATTATTCGGTATGACTAATTGGATTAGTCTCATAAAATTCAAGTTAGCCTTGATTTGNGTAGTTTCTTTCTTGTTAGGAGGTTTTTGGGTTGGTAAAAAGTGGAGAGTCACATTAGCGAGTCACTGAGTCTTCTCCCAAATGCAATGAAATTACCATTTTGTAGTTACTTCCAGTCTTATCATTATGAATGTTAAACAGCAGTTTCCGATACATTTTGAAAACAGGGGAGTCGATCGACTGACTACTCAACACACCCACCCACTTCTAATTTCGTTTCCTATATATTCGTTGAACGAACTAATCATGTTGTTAGTTATAGTACGCTTAAACTGGGAATTAATTATTCGGTATGACTAATTGGATTAGTCTCATAAAATTCAAGTTAGCCTTGATTTGGCTGAGTTGTCTAATGCTGCCAAGCCTCCAAGTCTCATTGATTAGTAGTCTTAAAACGTGATCATACCTTTTAATTTCCATAAACATCATTGGCACCAGAGAGCGAGTGAGTCTCATAACTAATCCAATAACTATAATTGTATTGGTGCATAAATTTGATACGTATAGAATTATCTAAAAAAAATCAACCAAGCTAACAAAGTTTGCTAAATTTTATTATTGTTTGTCTCGATGGTATCTATTTTTCACTCCGTTCCTGCATACAATATTCATCAAGAAAGCAAAGTTTTTGGCATCCTAAAAAGATTGGGCTACATCCTTGAAAATGGGCTTAATCCAACAAAAATTGAACCAATTCATGCATAAATGACGTGGGCTAATCCGGACCTTTGCTTTGGTCCTGCACTTGGACAATCTGCCACCAAGCCAAACTCTTTTCCTCATACGTGGACAGTATGCCACCTTACATAGGGGTGTCAATACGTATTCTGTATAATACGATTTTAAAATTAATATGATTAATAAATATATATATATATATAATAAATAATTTAAAAATTAATATTTAATATTTAAAACATAATAAATAAATTATTTTTGTATAAATTTTGACACGAATACAAATACGATGAGATCAATTATATTAGGGTTAAACTCATTTTACATTCCGAAAGATAGTTCGAATCTCAATTTGCACCCTCAAAGAATAAAAATCTCAATTTGCACCCTCAAAGATAGAAATTTGTATCAATGTGCACTCCCAAAGATCAAAAATCTCAATTTGCACTCTCAAAAATAGAAATTTGAATCAATGTGCACCCCAAAGATAAAAAATCTCAATTTGCACCCTCAAAGATAGAAATTTATATCAANCACCAAGCCAAACTCTTTTCCTCATACGTGGACAGTATGCCACCTTACATAGGGGTGTCAATACGTATTCTGTATAATACGATTTTAAAATTAATATGATTAATAAATATATATATATATATAATAAATAATTTAAAAATTAATATTTAATATTTAAAACATAATAAATAAATTATTTTTGTATAAATTTTGACACGAATACATATACGATGAGATCAATTATATTAGGGTTAATCTCATTTTACATCCTGAAAGATAGTTCGAATCTCAATTTGCACTCCCAAAGATAAAAAATCTTAATTTGCACCCTCAAAGATAGAAATTTGTATCAATGTGCACCCCCAAAGATAAAAAATCTTAATTTGCACCCTCAAAGATAGAAATTTGTATCAATGTACACCCCCAAAGATCAAAAATCTCAATTTGCACCTTCAAAGATAGAAATCTGTATTAATGTGCACCTAAAACTAAATTGATAAATTATACATAGATCTCCTCATACTTGTCACTTAATCATTTAGACCTCTTTACATTTAGAATATTACTCCTACATCTTATGACGTTTGTACACGTGTAACACGTAATTCCTTTTCGTTGATATCTGTTAATATAATCGTTAAAAAATATGATTTTATCCTAATAAAAAATTATAATTTCATATTACCCTTTATTTTGTGGATTCGATATACTCTAAAGTTCAAAATCAAGCTTACCATTTGAATGTCTAATAGAATGTAGATATTTATAAAAAGGAAAATATGAAAAACATTATATAAATATCTACATTTTATTAGACATTCAAATGGTAAGCTTGATTTTGAACTTTAGAGTATATTGGACCCATTAAATAAGGGTAATAAAAAATTATAATTTTTTATTAGGATAAAATCATATTTTTTAACGATTATATTAATAGATATCAACGAAAAGTGGTTATGTTTACACATGTATAAACGTCATGAGATGTAGGGGTAATATTCTAAATGTGAAGGGGTTCAAATGATTAAGTGACAAACATGAGGGGATCTAGGTATAATTTATCAATTTAGTTTTAGATGCACATTAATACAGATTTCTATCTTTGAGGGTGCAAATTGAGATTTTTGATCTTTGGGGGTGTACATTGATACAAATTTCTATCTTTGAGAGTGCAAATTGAGATTTTTGATCTTTGGGGGTGTACATTGATACAAATTTTTATCTTTGAGGGTACAAATTAAAATTTTT